CTAGTATAAGCTTTGGGTCAGTGAACAAATTAAATAAAATTTCAGCAAATTGTAGCTCATCAAGGAAATTCTTGCACTATGTAATTCATATTAAAAAAAAAAAACTTCAATATTTTCCTCTTCTCATGTACCAAAAGATTTAGGCACATGTGAATATCAATTTGGATACATTAATGCACAGGATTTGTGGATAAATAAGCTTTTGCCGCATGCTAGGAACTATATTAATTGCATATGATATAATTTCCTTATATCAAAAGAATACTCATGTAAATTAAACTTCAGTGAAAAGAAGTGGGACTATGCCTTGAAAGAAGGCAGAATGAACAGAAAAACGTAGTGGAGAAGTTGGACACATATTTACATATAAATATTCTAGTTTTCCCTAAATATTGAAATACTCTCAACTTGTAACAGAAATCCCAACTATTTCAATAGAAATATCAAGAAGCAAACTCTGACAGAGTTCAATTTAATATAGATAAAGATTGGAAACCGCTATATAATATAGATTAATCCTTTTTCATTGTTGTTGGCAGCTATATATAATAAAGGTTTATTTTTTCCACGATAGCCACGCAAGATGAAATGCAGAACATAAAGGAACTTACCGAATGCTTAAAATCAGTGATGTATTGTATATATGCTGTAAACTCCGATCTTGGCCCTAATCTCGCACACGAAAGTGTTTCTCGGTTCACTTCCTCTTTCAAACTTTAAAATAGAAGGATGGCCCAGGAAGGAAGAAAATGGAGGATAAAAGAGAACTAACCTCCGATCGAACTGCTCCCTCTCGCTATCTTATGTGCCCAGATTGACACACACAAGCCCAGGTCATGATCCTCTGCCTTATTCGAATGGCCAAAAGAGCAGTAAGGGGAGAAAATGCCGATCAAACCCCCCTCGTTTCAACCAAGTGGAATGCATGGAAGCCAGATGGCCGGCCGCCTCCCCCTTACCCTTTCGCACCCGACCAGGTGGAAGCCATGCCGACCGCTCCTTGCCCCTCTCACATTCGAATCGCAGCCGCAGATGGGGAAGAACGCATGCACGCACGCCGCTGGGCCGCACAAATCAGCCCAAAAGCCCCTTAATTTGATCTAATGACTATTAAGGAAGAAAGATTGCCATCTTGCCGTTCCTCTAATTCAAAATCAAAGGGCTGAAACTTGATTTGCTAAATTGAGAGGATTTGAGGATTCAATTAGCTAAATAAAGTTAAATTAAGAAACCAAACTTTATTTAGATTTGGATTTGGGCTCAATTAACAAGATAAAGATTCAAGCTAATTGGCATTAATTTGTTTTATTACGAGTTGAAAAAGATTAAATTGAGTCGATTAAAATTATCACGCCTTAAATTGCATTCGAGTCTACTAGAATCTCAACCTCGCTCAATTCAATTTATTTGATTGAAACTAGATTAGTTATGATCAATTCAAGCTCAAATCGATTCAATTTAATGGATCGACGACGGCTTCGAGGTCGAATCGAACACAAGTCGAGTCGAACTGACCCTACATTGAATCAAATTGACCCGACATTGCTTGATTTAACGTAATTTAGATTGGATAGGCCTTTGCTAACATGAAGTTGTATTGATTAAATTTGATTAGGTGTAAACATATTCGATTGAAATCAAATTGATGTGATCAAGGCTAAGTTGATACTATATCATCAGATATCCACCTAAGGGTAATCTTAGGAGTGATCTACACTAAGGTAGGAAGCCCTAGGTTCTACGAGAACTATAGAGGAAGATCGACCTCACAAAAAGTGAGGTCAACAACCAAGTCAGACTAATTCAAGCTAAGTCATCCTGGTTCAAGGCAAGCTAACTAGGACTTCTCGATCTTATCTCAAAAGAGACTCGCTAGATTACAAGTGAACTCTCCTCAAGCAAGTGATCATAATCTAAGATGTTGTCCCAACCAAACGAGTGTGTCCTATCAGCACGGCTCTAGTGAGTATACACAATGAAGTCTGCCATTACAATTATTTTGGTGGGTAACTCAATGGAAAGCTATTTATTAGTTATTCTACTAGTATCCATTAATCCATGTTAAAGCCAATGACTTCTTACGAGCTCGATGAACAACCTAGTTAAGTCAAACATTATAAATAATCTATGCAACTTTTACATTTTTTTTTTCTTTATTATATGCATATTCATAGTATTGCGTCCTAAAAAATTTGCAATTATAGAGATATATAAAAATTAGCGTCATAGTTTCGTACAAAGATCCATCACACAAACTGATAAAAATTGAGGGTTGCAGCATTTATATAAGACATCAAAGTTTTTACATGGAAACTCCTCAAAAGGGGACTATTTATAATTTTTTTTGGGAGTAGTATGAATAGTAAATATGAAGAAGATCAAAGGCCTAAGAGTGTTTCATCGAATAGCTCATAATGATCCCCTTTATCATAAAACATTTATCAAACATTTAGTCAAACAAAGAGATAGGAGTAGTAAGGATTTAGATCAAGTGAAGTGTATTAAGGATGAAAATCAAAAGAACTTTTCTTAGAAGATGATATTTAACAAAGGTGGATGAGATATTTTGCTAAACTTTTTAATGAAAAATGTGAAAATAAGATTGACTCTAGCACCCTAAATGAAAATAAAAATTTTTTGTTTTAATCGACGTATTAGTAAAACTGAAGTTATAGAGGCTTTAAAGAAAATGATGTGTGGAAAAACTGTTGGAACTGATGATATTCCAATAGAGATGTGAAAATACTTAAGAGATGAAGGAATTTCTTGGCTTACTAAACTTTTTAATATTATTTTGAAAACTAAAAAGATGTCAGATGAATGTAGAATGAGTGCGTTAATTCATATTTTTAAGAATACAGGTGATGCATGAGTGTGCAAATTATAGAGTGATTAAGTTAATGTATCATACTTTGAAACTATGAGAGCGAGTTATGGAGCATAGGTTGCGACGTGATACTAATGTTTCTCAAAATCAATTTGGATTCATGCTGGGTAAGTCTACTATGGAAGTCATACATTTATTGTAAGGTTTGATGGAGAAATATAGAGAGAATAAGAAGGATCTACATATGATATTTATTGATTTAGAGAAAGCATATGATAAAGTTCTAAGAAAATTGTCGTGGAGAGTTCTTAAAAAGAAAGGAGTTAATAACACTTATGTTCAAATCATTAAAGATATGTATGCAAGAGTTATTACTTGTGTTCAAACACAAGGTAGTTGGACCAAGTGTTTTCCTACTTTGGTTGGATTACATCAATGATCAACCTTAAGTCCATATCTTTTTACTTTAGTCATGGATGTTCTCACTAGACATTTGTAAGAGGATGTACCTTGGTGTATGCTTTTTGCTAATGATATCCTTTTTGTTGATAAGACTAGAGAGGAAGTTGAAGGTAAACTAGAATTATCAAGGTCAATCTTAGAGTCTAAAGATTTTCTCTTGAGTAGATCTAAAACTGAATATATGTAGTGTAATTTTAGTAGTAATAGACCTAGTGTGGAGCTTGTGACTTTGGGCGATCAAGTCATTGATAAGAGTACACGTTTTAGATATATTGGATCTATTGTTTAGAATGATGGTGAAATAGATCAGGATATTATCAGCAGAATTCAAATTGGATGGTTGAAGTGGAGAAATGCATCTGGCTTGTTGTGCAATAGAAAAGTCCCTCTCAAACTTAAGGGAAAATTCTATAAGATGGTGATGAGACCTGCAATGCTTTATGGTGCCGAATGTTGGCCATTAAAAGAGAAGCATAATACTAAGTTTAATGTTGCAGAGATGAGGATGCTTAGGTAGATGAGTGGCTTTACCCTTAGAGATAAGATACGAAATGAGCATATACGTGAAAAGGTTGGAGTAGCTCTAGTGGAAGATAAGATTAGATAGAGACACCTTAGATGGTTTGGTCACATTAAATGGAGGCCTTCTGATGACCTGGTTAGGAAAGTTGAGGTATTAGATTTGACTTATGTTAAGAAAGGTAGAGGTAGACCTAAAAAGTATTTGTTAGACAATAGTAAAAATAATCTTTTATTATTAGATTTAAACGATAATTTGACTTTTAACAAGACATAATGACGAAAAAGGATTCATGTAGCTGACCCCATGTAGTGGGACAAATGCTTGTTGTTGTTGTTGTAGAAATGTCAGAATTGACTGATCTTGGGCTTATTGGATTCGTCTTGTCAATCCAATATTCAACTATTAGTATGCAACATTCAGATATCATTTGGTAGTCTAATTAATGATCTAGAGCTTCCTAATATACTTTAGACCTTTGATTTGGGGTCATTCAGGCTCGGATTGGATCGAATTTGTTGTCATTGGGTTCATATCCTTGAGATCTTCAATTTGACAATAAGCATATTGTATTTAGAGATTAGATTGCCTTGATTTTAATTTTTTGAAGTCTTAATCTCATATTTACCTCGAGATTCATATCAGATCAAGTCAATTTTTTATGCATATAAATAAAAACAATACTATAACATTCAAGCTCCAACTCAAATCTAAAAATAGAGAATTACATGGTAAATTCAATTTATGTAATTTTCCCATATTCAAGCTCATTTTACATAAATATCATTGCTTCTCACTCTAGAATTCTTTCTCTCAATATTTCTCAACTCTCTCTTTACTTAATATGAATCATAAACAATTCTAAATTTAATAGGTCCCTTCGTCAACCATTCACCAAGTTGGATGCATAGTTATGTGCAATAAAGAATATAATTCTCTACTTAATCAAGTAATTATTTTAATTAGCTTAGTTGTATGCATTATAACATGTTTGTTTCACTTATAGCGAACCAGTATGTATGACCAAACATATATTATATGCAACTGTATTTGAGATAACTTTCTTATTATTTTTTAAAATAATTTTTCAGTATAAAATTTTTTATGTTAAAAAATTACTTTAAAAATAATAAGAAAGTTATCCCAAATAAAGCCTATATATACTAACTTCTGTAATAGATTTCAGCTATTAAAAAAAAAAAAAAGATAAATATTGGCTGAAACACCTTAATAACAGCTATAGAGAATGTCTTGCTCACAAGCTTTAAATGCACACTTAATACTCAAAGACCACTAAATTTATACTTCCTCCCACTCAATAAAACGCATTTCAACCTATATATTACTGCTTTCTGCATAGAAAGCAAACTGCAAAACACCAAATCTATAGACTGATCAGATCAGATCCCCATCGCCATAATACTAACCACCACCATCATCGCCATAATCGCTAAACTCAACCCCCCCGCCCTGCTCGCAGCCATCGATACCCCTAAAACCTTAATATCATCAACAACCGGTCCACACAACGAGCTATGGTCATCGCTCCTCGTGTTGTAATACACGCTGTAAAACGCCACCCTGGTCCTCTCCGCCTTGGCGGTGAAGCTGACATTAGCAGCCATGGAAGTCGCGTTACCAAGCGGAGCGAAGTGAAAATTCTCCGCCTGGTCGCCTGCGAATGCCATGACTGCTAAAGGAGACTGGCAGGAATCTCCTGCTGAGCCCACTGTGAAGACCAGGTTGTATTGCTTATTTGGCTTGGTCTCCACCATCTGAGAGATTATGCCTTCCTTGCCTGAGAGGAGCTCGATTGCGCGCTTACCCTGAGGGACGGTGTAGTGGTCGGAGTCGACATAGCGAACCGCTCGGTTGGATTCGACTATCCAGCCTGGGAGGGAGGAGGTCTCCTCGTCCAAATTGGTGGGGAGGAGGACGCCGAGGGTCGCATTCTTGAACATCCATGGGCCTTCTTCAAAGTCGCCATTGATGACAGCATTATCTGCATATTTTAAAGTTGTAATTGAATAGCAAGCTTCAGTAAAAGTATGCTTATTCTACTTTAAGAAAGAGTAAATGCTGCCACAAAATTATTGATGACTCCATTTTGAAAATGGTTACAAGGAGCAATGCTATGTTAAGCTATTTTATGAAGAATATTACGCATGAATAGATGAAGTGAGCAAAAATTATATCATGAGATGCAGTTGAAAGTCTTCATGTGAAACATTGTATGATCGTCTAACAATCCTGATCCGGATCAACACAATAACATAAACATTATCAAAATAACATAATAAGCGTACCAGAAGATAACTGATGACGCACCGGACGTGTAACTTGTTATGGAAAGATTTTATTGGCTTCATTGGCTTTTCATATCTAATTATAATATTAATTATGAGATCTAATTATGTCATTGATTGGAAGATCTAATTATGGCATTGATTAGGTTTTTCTTATTAATTTTTATTTCAAATCTATATAATGAGATTTGAGGGACACTTTAATGAGAGTATTGAGTGCAATTGTAATGTTGTTTCTCTACAATAGGGAAATCATCGCCTCCTCATGGACATAGGCAATTCTTCGCAAATCAACGCAAATTGCATTGTGTTCATTGAGTTTGGTTGTGTGATTTTCCGCTTTCTACATTCAATTGCACGATTGTTGGTAATAGAGACGGATTGCAGTGTGATTTACGGTGTAATTTGGAGATCTCTGATTCTTCCTGTTGTGATTCGTTCTTCTCCAATTGATCAAGCTTTTGACCTACTTGGTCGAACAGAGCGGAGCAAAGACACGATCAAGCGCGTACGTCATAGAAGTCGTGCGGAAGCAAGCACGTAAGGTCGCTTGATCGTGCGAGCTAGACAGACACACGGTCCAACACAAGACAAAAGCAGACGTGGGTAGGGTTTGGCATTCAGGCAAGAGCCAAACCCAAGAGGGCGTTCGAGTTCCCTAACTAAGGGATTCAATTTTCAGTTTTAATCAAAAGTTGTAATCATGTGTCTTTTATCTTATTTTATATTTTGAGTTTACAATTAATGATTTAATATTTACAAATAAACAAGAGAATAAAATACAATGTCAAATATGAAAAATAAAGATAATACAACAAACGACATATAAAGACGTGAGAAACATATGAAAGGAAGTAAATAACATAACTTAAGGGTCTAAGGCTGATGACCTATATGCAACTTCTAGTGTGTTGTAGGTGGTGTGAGTGATCAAACCTATTATTAGTTTAGAGTTTCAATTTTCAATTTTAAACATGTTTAATACTTATTCGGGGGTGGTTTTGATTTAAATATTAATGTTTTACAATTTTTTGTTTGGCTTTTAAATGATTTATAAAGAAAATTTTATTTTATTTTTCCTTAATATTATTTTATTTTATATAATCTTTTGTTTATTATCATTTTATGAGTTTGTTGGAATTTATTTTATGATTTTTAACGGGTGTTTAATAAATTTTCTAAGTCTGTTGGAGAAATTGTTGAATTTGGAAGTGTAAATGTAAGGTTAACTGTAATATTTACTTAATTTATTATTTATTATGGCTTTGTGTATTTATGAAAATTAATTTGGGATATTTTTATGGGTTTTATTATATCTTTAACTGACTATTTATCATTTTATCATTCTCTTTCTTTTAATTTTCTCTTTTGTTATTTTAAATTTAACTTCATGATTAAGTTTGAATTTCTTTTTGATTTTAGGATTAATTAATATTAACAAATAATATAATTGTATTAGTTTTTTTCATGTTTTTTAATGTTACTTATTTAATTAAGTTAATATTATGTGTGATTTAATTTTTAGGGGGTTATTTGAATATAATTTAATTTAAATATAATATAAATTTTAATTTGATTATGTTTATCATTTAAACATGTATATCTTTGATTTATTTCTTTTCGTTGGTTTGTTAATTGCCTTTGACTCTTAGAGAAGATTTGTGTATGTTAGATGAACTAATTGTCCGAGTGGGTAGATAATTAGGAATAAAACCTATCCTACCATGTGGGTATGATGCCCCTGGTCAAGATCCCATGATTTTCCAACGTCTCAGATTCATTGGTGTCCTTTGCTTACTTAGTCGAGTGCCGACTGGAGGATCCTTGTTAACAATCATAGATTACCTCATTCAAAGGGACCTCTTTGGCTAAGGGATGAGGGACCTAATCCTAGAATGACAAATGGGCAGTTCATAGGCCTATGGATAATGCACCTACGTCTATGTTGTCTACCTTAGGGTGCCACACCTTAGGCTAAATGTATACTCATACAGAGAGATGATGTGAATGTGGAAGATATAGGTTAAGGAAACCTAGTGTCTAGGCTTCTATCTACACTCCACATCACCTACCGGGGTTGCAGGTGAATTGAGTTTTGTATTCAATCATCCTTATTTGTAAATGTTTATGTTGTTACCATCATAAATTAATATGAAATTGCTAATCTAGTGTTCAATATTAGCAATAAAATAAGAGGCTAGAAGTGTAGTATTTGTTCATTGCATAAGAGAGGCTAAGCAAAGTAGTATATGTTCATTGTTTACCATCATTCATCATTATAGAGCTCTTTACCAAAGAAGTGCAAGCGCCGACAAAGTGTCGGTTATTACAAGCATCATACACATATCACATAAATTTGGATGCTTCATAGGGAAGTGAGTTTTATTCCTTATTCAATTATGATTATGTTTTTGACTAGCTAATGCTGAGCGGTACCAAGCATGTACCAAACGGTACCGAGTGCCTCTTCTATGTACCGATTTTTATCAATGAGCAATTTTGCCATTTTTCAGAAATGACATTATTTTTACTACTGGGAACATTGTTATTTATAGAAGTCAAATTAACGAAATTATAACTACAACATACATTGATAACAACCATCTTGATGCATTTGGCATTCTGCTAGTTGAGAAGAACCCGCTATGCCTAGGCCTTTACCAACTATTCCTATTTGTTTCTAACTTCCATTGGGTTCGTCAGAAATTTAGATGTTTGTGTTTTTTTCTGCTAATTTTTTGCTCGTTATGACAGGGTTATCATTTATATAAGTACAACACTAAACTATACGTAGCTCATATCAACAAATAATATGTTATGTATTCATTCATAATTCTTACATTAATACTATAATCGTATCAAAATGACAAAATTACTACTATGAAAATTATATAAATTAGACCCTTATTGTCAGAAACTTGTAGAACAAAGTGTGGCAATTTTACGATTCCTTACCAAAAACAAACACTCACAATGTCGTGCTTCCTCAAGTTGTGAGTAAAATTTTATAATTAATACAAGGTCATATCAAATTTCTTGTCTACTTTATTGAATTTTATACGGTGTCAAAATTGTGATCAAATAGATCATCTTTACGAAGAAACACATGATTCTTTTGATAATGACATACGCTAGTGGCTGATCCAAACATTTGAAGATGTGCCGACCCAGAAAAATAGCATCAACTGCGGGATATACGTTTGTAAATATATGAAAGTTGTTATTCAACCTCAACCTGTCATATGGGCTGACCTTATAGATTGCCAAGATAAAATGCCTAAATTCAGGACAATGCATGCGCCATTCTTTGTGCAACCCAAAAATAAATGAGCATAAGTTGTTCATAATATGTATTTATACAGAGTGGTCATTCTGGTTTTTTTTTAGTGGTCATTCTGGTATGTTTGTGAACGTCAAGCATTCTAGCATGTCCAAATAATGAATAAAAAAAGTTTGTGAAGTCAAATTAATGATTTCCCCACATACGGCTGTTTAACATATGGAAGAAAAAAGTTCAATGAAATTTTCCTCAAATTTGTCTCACCAATAATTTAAATAAACAACGAAGGAAAAAAATAACATCATTTTATGCTGACATAAAAAATATATAAGATAGGTCTAATTATAATCGTGTGTATATATATATATATATATATATATATACTATTATTATTATTTTGAATGAACACCTTCTTGTAGCTAGAGTTATTCTAGACTATAAATAATTTGATATATTAACTAAATATGCAGTCTTTATCAATTAAAAGTCGAAAATTATTCATAACAAGGTCAAAAATCTCAATGCATTAATAGTTGGTCAATAATCTAGGTCTAAAAGGTAAAGCTCATCATCTTGTTCCCGCAAATTTCCATCAAATAATAAAGAAATAAATACATACCTTCGGCGCGGTCGGGGACGAAGAGTTTCTTAATGGCAATGTTATCAATAATGGGACCACAGGTGGGATCCTCCTCCATGCCCGGATTTCTGAAAGCCAACTTCGCCGTCTCCCCATCGTCGCCGTCGTGTCCGACGGAGCTGCCGGCCAGGAAGGCCCAAGCATAAGTATCCCAGCCCTCAACACTATATAACGTCTGAAGATCAACAGTCTGGGAAGACGCTGCGGCCACCGATACGTCGAGTGACTCAAGCTGCGCACAAGTGCGAGCCGCACTGAACGTCACGGCATAGGTGGAGCCCTTCTCCACCGCCACGTCCTGGCTCACCCCGGCCTCGTTTCCTAGCCGGACCGCGTGCTCACCTGCAGCATTTCACCGCCGTTCGATCCGTATCAGCTGGCCGTGCTTTTTTTTTATATCAAGCACGAAATTTGATGCTGCGTACCTTGGGGAACGATGAGGATCATGCCACCTTGGCGCTGGCCCGAGCGAACGACCTCGACAGTGCCGTTGATCTCCCAGCCGGGGATGGCGGCGGCACCCTCTCCCGTGCCGACGCTGGGATACCCGCCGGGCGGGATCGCCTCAAAATCGCCGTTTTCAAGAGAACCTGCAAGAAGATCGCCGCCGTCCATTAAGGGATGGTTCGTCATGATCTATCCCAGCCATTCAATGACAATGGGGTAATTAATATCCACGAAAAATATGAAATAAATTATTAATGCCCTGCAATTTCTATCATTCTAAAAAAAAAAAAAACAGATTTTTTTATAGTTAAATGATAAAAGATTTAAAATCTATCCTAACAAAAATTTTGATTAGTAGATCCTAATACAAATTTGTTTCATTAACAAATAAGGTTAAAACTCACATGAAAGTGAGAAAATTATCAAAATAAAATAAAATTAAAGGTATCCTTTTAAAAGAGAACTGCAACAGGCCTGAAGCCTGTAGGGTCTTAAATGAATTCATGAAAAGAGCAATAACCTAAAGAGGTACACATGACGAGAATGCGTGCCTTCAGGCATTCACAGCGTGTTGCGAAGATTATTCTAGGTAGATAGAGAGTAAATTTCATCATAAATGAAAAACATCACCATTTCTCCCAATCTACAATTGATCCCACCACATACAGCATTAAAAACAGCTATAACTAAAGATAAAAATGATCTAATAAGAAAGCAATCGTAGCTTGATGTGACATGCAAAGTTTAGTTCATATAACTGTATAATACTCATCAAATTTACCCCAACAATGCTTATAAATTACAAGTTAAAGTGGTAATTAATGCCAAATTATCAATGAAGGTCCGCTTAATTTAAAATAAAAATATAGCATGGCCCACAATCAAGCACGGATTCATCTTAAGCCAAAAAAAAATTATTCTTTATTATACTCTTTAAATAATTTATCCTCGTCCATCTATTTTTTAGCCTTTATTACAAGAGATTTTAAGCAATTGCCCTCTAAAAATTTTAAAATACTATGATTTTTAGGCAATTTCTCCCAACATAATTATACATATTGTGTATACGTGTTATTATTAGGAAACTATGAAACAAATACAAATCCCTGCTTTTGCACCTAACGATTGATGATTTGTTTTGTTGGGTCATGCTTCTTGTGTTTTCTCGAGAAGAATTTTATAAAAGTTTTTTAGAGGCTAAAAGAAAAGGGACTTTTATTAAACAAAGTGGGATAAATCATTATGCTTCTTTTCATTCAAATAATATATGAAAGCTTTGTAGCATTAATCATGCCATAAAACAAGCAAAATGCCAAACCAAATAAGGCTAATTTGTAGGGAAAAAACTTGTCTCAGAATAAATCAAAAAAATCTTCAATCTATTTCAAAATGAACACAATGCATAGATTTTTTTTTTCTTTTTTTGGAACGGGATATCCACCCACTACCACCAGCAAAAAGACATTGGACAGCGTGACTAATTCTCAACTGACCTAGAAGACATTGGGCCCCACTTAAGAGACGTTGCCGCTCGAGAGAAATCGAGCACGGGTTGGATACTCACCCACCAACCAAGCTAAGTAACGATGGGTAAATTTTGTATTTTATCACTGTACCATCTTACTGTTCACAATCCTTACAACTATGCATATAATTCATATGTGATTTGAGTTAAAATGCAAATTTAATTAAATGATTATGCTTTTAATAGAACTGTTAAAAGCACTTATCCTTCCAAATATACCTTATTTACATACAAATAGAGCCTACCATTTTTCTTATCAAAACATATTGACCACATGAACACTATAATTCAAGTCATTCAGATCAAATATTTATAAAAAAAAAATCATTATTTACATAAAAAATATAAAATTTACCTGACACTAATTTAAGTCATCCTAATCAAAATAGTTAATCTAAATTTTTTTTTCTATTATTATCCCATACTTATGTTGACTAACAGAGTAAGGGAACATGTCCATTTCAAATAAAACAAACAAATAAATAAATAAAATGCATATTATACACATTCATAGATAGGCTGTTCCCTTAATTAGATTTGATCAATCAAATCAGATCGAACCCCCGGTTTTTGTGCAGCTTAATAAAATACCCGACCATATCTCTTATCTACACACGCACTATACGCGCACCAGTAGGGAACATTGCCCCATAAAACGCGGCTTTCCGCCATACAAAGCTTTCAAGCACAACGGAAAGCTCCAGTACTTAACAATATAAATTTTATATTTACAAAAATTAAAATATATTGTATCAAATAGATCCTTTGCAAAAGAAAAAGACTCCGCACTCCGTCGACAGACGATGCAAAGTCCGAAATTTTTTTGAAGATGAAAATAAATAAAGAATTAGCAATCAAAAGCAAAAAAATAATAATATTGATCCACCTCTGAAATACAAAAAAAAATTTATATGTAAATAAAAGTATAATAAATTGTCGGATTCGGATTAGACAAGCCACCAAACCGGATTCGTCGGCATTCGGCCTCCCAAATTGGTATTATTAATTAGGTTTTGATAAATGCCAGTTGGAAGAGTGATTATATTTAGTCTTATAGATAACTAAAAAAATTAAGAGAAAAAATCTAAAGAAAAAACAGGAGCAGAAGAAAAAGTCCCAGAAATAAGAAGTTAAAATTTTTATTTGCTTAATTTGAAATAAATTAGATCATTTAATTAAGCAGACCCATCACAGAAAAAGGAATTCGCTGCTCGTCAACAAACGCTGACCGAAGTCCCAATCTGTCAACAAAAATTGCCACTATTAAAAATGGAATAATTAATACTTCACCGAAGAAGTTGGATTGATTTTGGATTGAGAAGTAAAACACTTCCCTGTTTACAAGGATAAGTGAAACATGAGCAATAATTGTGGAAACGCACAATCTTTTGTTTAAAATCCAGAATAGCTTTAACTCCTGAAGGTTGATGGTAATAAGGGTGGCTGCTTTTAAAACAACGATTAATGATAAATTTTTAATTATGTAGAAGTTGAAGATTTTTTTCTATAAATTATCTTTTCAGCAATTTAAAACATCGGAGTTTTATCCAATAATTTTTGGATAATCTTTTTTCTAATTTTAATCAAACGTGATCGAGTGGATGGCAGCGTTTCATATCGCTCACAAAACCGATCAAAGAAAAAAAAACTAACAAAGGGAGACACTATAGTTAAAAAAGGGGGCCAATAGGAGGCACAAAAGCATCAGGCATCATGATCAATTCATCGGCTCTCCTCTCCATTCAACCTCAAAGATAACGTTATTCTCTAACTCTCCACTTCTACCCCTCCAGTCTTCCATAGGAAAATTCCGCCAAAAATAAAAAAGAACTCCAAAAAAATCATAAACAAAAGACTACAAAGCCAGATCCCCAAAACTAAGCTCCAAATCCGCACTATGATCTAAGAGCTAAATTTCCTAAAACCCGACCAAAATCAGCTAAATGTGCAGCGACATAGTCCTCATCAGCCGTAAAACAAGCTTTAAAAAGTTTTAAAAAATCATCGTAGCTGGAAAAGGAAGAACAAGCAAGAATGCAGTACACACCGTCTTCGATCGCCGAAGAAGCCCACTGAAATGATGCGAACAGCATCACAATGCAAAGGAGAACACACATTCGCCGATTCTCGGCCAATCGATCCATCGCGCTCTTCGATCTCCTCCTTTCTTCCCGCTCCGCTGCCCGATTCTGCGTCCCTCCTCTCTCCCGGTGCTCTCAGAGTTCACTCTCTAGTGGAGATCCTCCGGTTTCAAGGCCTCACCCGCCCTAGCTTTCCCTTTTATGGCCGGATTCCGTCTTCATTGGCTTTTTGCGGGATAAAAAAAATTGAAAAAAAAAAAATTACTAAAATTTGCTTTTATTAATTAATTTCGAAAAAGCATTGCTGTTAAAGAAAATTAGAATTAAAAATAAAATAAAATTATTTGGATATTATCCCGCGTTTTGCGTTCATACGGAACGATTGTCGATTTTATTTTTTATTTTTTAATTATGAGAAGTAATCAATTATAAAATAATGATTTAAATTTATAATTATAAAAAATATTTTTTTAATTATTGGGCTATGAATTTCCTCACATAAATCAATTAAGATCAAAATTTAACCCACAAAAAAAATATGTAAACGAGTTATTTTTACATTGGGGTTTATTATCACAAGAAATTATTAATTACTGATACGTCATCACAAAAGGTGTCTCTTATGAACGCTACACCCTCTCACTTATCTGATTGTGTGCTGGATCTTCGTACAACGCTAAGACGTTAAACTATATATTTCTCTACCGCCGCGAATATTCCAGGACGCAACAATTACGAAGTCTGAATAAATCATTCTCGATACAAAATTTATTAGGTCAAGGAACTTGATCATCAGTTTTATATTGATTGTTCTTTTAATTTTATTCTGATATGTAACAATAATAAATAACTCAGCATCATATAAAAATTTATCTATTAACCCTAATTTTCAATGTATGGCTTATTTTGATATCTCTATTATATATATAAGCTATATAAAATTATGATCAATTATGATGTATATATTAATATATGTACAAATATAATATACTAAATATTTGAATCACATTCGCTCCATCTATAAATAGATGAAAATTTTGGTAGTAAAATAATCCTATGGAATTACAATCACTTTATCTAATTAAAATAATATACATAGTCAAACTCACTTCATATAAAATAAGGCTATTGATTCATGTTCATTCCATCTGAACTAACGATATCAATTTGGGCTATGGGTTGGGTTTGTTAAATTCATATGTTGCACATGATTTAGTATCAGAATCATACACCCCTGCTATGAGAAAAGGAAAAGAAAAGAGAGAGGATGGATACAAGAAGGGCTACACAAACATTAAATGTGTGCATTAATAAGTTAGTACATCAGACACATGAGTGACTAGGATGATGGAAAAATAAAAAGAGGGAAAAAACTTCAAAATAGCCTCCTGGCCCTTAATTTATAGAGTTTTGAGCATACAAGAAGGGCTACACAAACATTAAAAAAATATACTGGTGATACATTAAATATACGGCATGAAGTGTGGCTAGCTAGTACATCAGACACATGAGTGACTAGGATGATGGATGTTACAGGGCTTGAAGGCAAAATGTTTATCTCATATATCATGCTAGAACAGTTCATTATTAGTAATGCCTCAATTGGAGGAAATTATCATCTTGTTTTTTGGGAGATCATTATCTCTATATACAAAGCCACCACCTTAGACAAGTGAACTAGTGAAGTCGCTATCTTAGATGAATCACCCAGTGAAGTCGTGACCTTAAGTGAGCTACCCAATAAAGTTGATATCTTAGGCTAGTCACAAAATGAAGTTATCACCTTAAGTGAGTCACCCAATGAAGTTGTCGCCTTCGCCGAGTCACAGAATAAAGTTAGCACCATAAGTCACACAATCAAAGTTATTATCTAAGGAAATCGACTAATGAATTCACATCCTTTGGCGAGTTACTTAGTGAAGTTGTTGTTTCAAGGAGTAAGCTTCGGAGTTGTCGAGTTATTATGAATTCTTCTTGAACTAAATGAACTTTGCTAAGAACTTCCATCTACTAAGTTCAACCATATAAAAATTTATCTATTAAGCCTTCTCTTTAGCATGGGGTTCAGCCATATCTAAAACTCAACTCCATATAAAAATGTATGCATTAATAAGTTATAATATTATGCATTAATATATACACAATTATGCAAACAAACTCGGTATATCAATTAATATATAAAAATATTGACAACAAGGTAATCCAATGGAGTCACACTCACTTCATCTAACTAAAATAAACATACTATCCATGTCGAGTCACATTCATTCCATATGAATTAGGGTTGTCAATTCAAGCTAATGGGTCAAGTTCGAGCCTGATCTGCTCGAACTTGACTCGACCAAAACCAACCTATTTATTATATTGATAATATAATATTATTGATCAAAACACCATAATTAATCTAAATATAACCAATTTAATCTAATGATATATATGTTTATTTTAACATCATGTTTAATTCCTAACATTTCAAATCCCAAACTCCATATTAATATGATCAATTTCATGATGATTTTAAATTATTTGAGTTATCTCAAATTCGATCCAAATAATAATCGGGTTTATAATTTAAGCAAACATTTAATCCCCAAATTTTTTGAGTAAGATTCAGCACACATCATTTATTGACACATCTAATCCAAATAACAAATAAATTAAAGAAAAACTATAAATGCAACATTAGACTACTTTGTTTTTCTAACCACTTTTTCCTTCATTAATTATCAATTTATCACCACAAAGCTTGACATATTAATAATAAAAAATAAGTGAAATTATAATCTTCTTCTATCTCATGATATGGAAAAGAATATGTTGGAATTCAAATCCCAAGGAAGACTGTCATAATAATAGATGAGGCAAGAGGCAAGTGGAGCAAACAGTAAAGAACATGCTTAAAAGTGCTTTGGATTTTTCTCAAATTATTTAATGACCCAAATTGTAAAATAAACACAATACAACCTAAAACACTTGTAATATGTTAATGAATTTTATTGAGAAATTTTAAAAATTTGTTTTGTTATTTATATTAAATTTAATGTGTTAATGTTATGATTATGATTTGTTGATGATATGTTGTTTTTAGCTATTGTTTGTATGACAATTATGATGTTTAACAATTATAATTTTAATTGGAGTTCATTTCTTTTTTATTTTATTGTCATGAATTTGAGATAGATTTATCTAGATATTTATATTTGTGATTGAATTAAGATGAATTTACGATAGAATTGATTGAGTAACAAAACTTTCTAAATAAGTGATTGGTTTGCAGTGAAAATTCAAGCTTGGGAAGAATTAATGATGGATTTTGTCGATATTGTGAAAACTTAGTGATAGATATATTAAAGTTATAGTGGTTACATGGACACTTTATAGAACATTAATCTCAAAATAACGTCAAATCACTAATCATAAATTGGTCATAGCTTTGTGTTTAATATTTTGTAAAATAAATTAACATTTTTTTTAAAACTTTAGGAGTAAGAGAGGTGGTGACACTTGACTCAACGGTTGTGGCACTAGTGTGAGTGATGGACAATGATAGACTGCAAGAGAAAGAGGGAGAGAGGCATGTAGTTTTTTAAGGGGCTTCAAGGCGAACTAGAGGCACCATTCATAATAGAGAGGGCATGGACATGTCGTTCTTTACTTCAATGATTTTATTGAGTTCTTAATAAAGACTTTTCTTTTACCACTGGCCTCAATCTACAACATATGTGATAAGTTAGTTGGGACCATCAATTAAATAAACTTCAAATATTTGTAACTATTGAGAGTAAATATTTGATATGTGACGCTCATATCAAATGTTGTTGCACAAAAGGGTATAAATTAAGAAAATAAACAAAACGAAAATGTGTGCAAAGATCTCTCTCTCTCTCTCTCTCTCTCTCTCTCTCTCTCTCTACTCACTCTCTCTTTCTCTTACCTCAGAAATTAAGATCACCTTCAAGGAGATAAATCACACAATTCTAGCTAGAATGAGATTTTATTGCCAAATATATCAAATGTTAATATGCTAGCATAAGTTAGTTCACTTGAACTCAATCTAATGATGGGAAGAAAAAGCTTTCAACTATTCATTCACATCTCTAACAATCTCATTCCCTTTTTCTTATACCTAAGAGGTTAAAATATTTCTTTCTTTCAAATATCTTTTTGCTCACTATTGAGATGTTATTGGAGTGCTGATGAAACTACCTCCATTAACATGTTGATAATTCTATTAACATATACATAACTATTAATATAAAAATAATTGGCTTACTTAATATATAAAAAATTATATTATGAAGCTTGTAGCATGTTAAAATATTCATGGTAGTAGACTGGAAGTGTTCAATTTTTTTATTTTGTACAAAAATTCAGCTTATACATAACTAAAGAATGTTGCAAGTGGTATCAAACTTTTCATGTGAAAATCAAAAAGGAAAAAAATCAACAAGCCAGATGTAAATGAAATAATATAATTTATGAGTAGGTATTACAAGTATCTCCTCAATTAGAGAAAATAGAATTGCAAAATTGGGAACACTAACCTAGTCTTATATGTCTATAACAAAGATTGATGGAAAAGTAAAGGAGGGCATTGAAAACGATTGGGCAATGAAAGTTGGATGATGACAATCAAGAGATAATGTTTAGGGTTTAACAATTAGTTGATGGCCATTGGATGACGATGGTCGAGCAAAAATGGTGAAGCAATGATGGCGGAGCACTGCTGTTTGAGCTTAGTTAGTTGTTCGAGGTGGTCTGCGGCATCAAGTTGAGCTTTAGGATTCTTCTGATCTGCTCCATGATTTTCAATTTCAAGCCAATGTCCAAGCTCTCCTTGATATGAAAAACTATAGTTTATCTATAGCTTTTTAAGTAGCATTTTTTAAATATAGTAAAAACTCAAAATACCTCATCGCATTATTTAGATAATATATAACTTTTTTTAGAATTTAAGAGCTTAATAATATTATAATTAAGTAATCTTAATCTTATTAGATTTTTCTTATCAACCAACTCATTTTGACTCTAAACAAATAAAATTTAGAGATCATTTGATCGTCCAATTAATATCCTCAAGTTTCTAAAGCTTTTCAAACTCATTTAAAATCAGATCAAATCACTTTTAATTTCACTATTTTCATCTCATCCATACATTCAATTCTATTATAAATTTATTGAAACAAAAATAAAAATA